GAAGCGGTTGCGGGGCCTCAAGGCGGGAAGGGCGCCTCAGGCCCCGCCGCGCTCCGTCACGGGGACCCTCCGCCACCCCACGGGCAGGGCCGACCAAGAGAGACGACGCCGCTGGTAGTGAGAATACAGCCGTTTTAATAATTCAAAGAGCAGCTCAGTACGGTTCCCGTTTGTTATACATGGTTGCACAATCTGAGGCTGGTTAAATACAATCAAGTTTTCAAAATCTCTTGGAATCAGTTCCAGATTTCATAACATGCAAGTGACCATGAAAATATTTGGCTTTTTGTTCTCTGAATTTCTGAACAGGCACTTACATGAGGGAGTTAAATTTGATCTCATTCAAAGATATCCGCTAGCATCAAGTACACAGAGTCTTTGCTTTATCAAAGTGCCACAGTATTAAAACAGTTCTTACAGAAATGTAATTCGATTATTTACTTACTCATAAAGTAAGGTTACCAATGACACTTGCACCGGAGTTGAGAAGTCTTGGTTTACAGGCCAAGCGAACCACAAGCGCAAGTAGCCTTCCACGCGGCAGGCTTCCTTGGATGCCCAAGCTACACGTCTGATAACAGACTACATGCCCAGTGGTGAACAGATGAAGACTAACTCCTTTAAGCTATTTCTTCAAACACCAAATGCATGCGAGATGAGCAAGACAAATGATCCCCTGTGCCAGACAAGCTTCTAACAGTTTTAAGGCTTGACTGGCTTCAAAACACCTTTCCAGAAGATCACAAAAAACACTTGTTTGCCCTCAAGAGGTCCAGATGGACTAGGAGGAGGGTGTCCTTTGAGGACCTTTCGCCTCTCCTATCAGGACAGCGAAGAGACAGACTGTGAAGACAGTGGAAGCGTGAAGCTGGAAGGAACCACAATGTTACATGTATTTGCAAAATAATCAGCGATACCAGCATTTATTTCATCAATAAGAGATAATTACGTTCAAATGCTTTACCCGCTCCCCGCCTGAAGGTGAAATCATGACAATATCTTTACAATCGCTAGTTACCGGGCAACAAACCCTCAAAAGTCAGGAGTGACTCATATGAAAGGCTTTGAGAAATATGGTAGAGAGAGTTGGGGGAGGGAAAGCAAAGATGCTTTGTAACATTCTTTGCTACTGATAGATTCAAAGTTTCTTAGAAACCTTGGTAAGGTGTCTGAAGGCTCCACAGTTGTCATTGTACACATACATGCAGTTTCAGTTAAACCCTATCTGACACGGTAATCAGAAGTCTTAGGACAATTTCACCGTAAACCTTGATTTTTAGTGTGATTTAGTCAATTTTGTCTTACTGTAATTTCAAAACAAAACAACTGCAAATAAGCAACATTGGAAAGAAACATGCAATAAACAACATGAGAGAAGGGAAATGCTTTAGTCTACACTGTCTAGGTGATCAGCAAAAATCAAATATACCAGCCTACCATGCATGGAAATAACTAGATTTAAGCTTATGCATATCCAAGTGCATTTAACATTATCAAATAAAAGTAAATGTGCAGTATAAAATAGTAGCTTAAGAAAGTTCCAGTGTTTGAGAAAGCACTTTATTTTAAATGTATATACATACTTGAATGTTTAACTGAAGAACGCTTTAATAGTACGGCAAATGCAGCACTGCAAGATGAAGGAAGACAGTTGTAATGGGAATTTTGGCCTTCTTTTCCCACAGGCTGCTGCCATCTTTCACCTGCTGAAGCACTGCAAAGTTTTTCACCTTATATCAGTTCACATTTCGGGTTGCTCAGCAGATGCTTGTGATTCTGGAGATTCAAATCGCTGGTGAAAGTTTGTTCGTTGTTTCCTCAGCTTCTCGGGAGCTTTTCTCCATAGAATTATTTCCTATTTGAGGAAGCAAACACTTGAAACCACCATCTACCATTAAGCCAACAGCATCAAGGATCTTAAGTTTCTGATAGGCAAAGACTTTGGGGGGGGGGGGAAATGGGGAAATCACCCACAAAAAACTCTGCATCCCTATTACTTCCAGAACAGTGCAGTACATATGCTATAGCTCCTTTTACCCACAAAGCGTTTTGTCTGTGTTCACAACGAGAGTTTTTTTCTGTGGCACTGAGCATCCTATCCTTGCTGAAACAGTATCCATCATCGCCCTTGGCTCCTTCTTGCAGGATCCTTGAATGGTTTGGGTTGGAAGGGACCTTAAAGCTCATCTAGTTCCAACCCCCCTGCCATGGGCAGGGACACCTTCCACTAGACCAGGTTGCTCCACGCCTCATCCAGCCTGGCCTTGGCCACTTCCAGGGATGGGGCATCCACAGCTTCTCTGGGCAACCTGTCCCAGTGCCTCCCCACCCTCTCCGGGAAGAACTTCTTCCTGATATCTGATCTAAACCTCCCCACTTGCAGTTTAAACCTGTTACCCCTGGTCCTGTCACTACAGGCCCGTGTAAAAAGTCCCCCCCCCTCCTTGTGGGCCCCTTCAGGTACTGGACCACCTCTTCTTGCAAGCTAACATTTTCTATACAGCTTCCAAGACATTTGCCAGCAGAAATGTTTATGCCATACGTGAAGCACAGGTGGCTTCTGATGTGCTGAACTATCAAAGCAGCAGTACAACAGCCCAGATAATTCTGCAACAAGATTCCTACAGACCATACCTGCTGTTTGAAGTATCGTCTGTCTTCTTCATCTACAAGCACTAGATTTAAGAAGTACCTCACTGAAAATTTTTTATTCACATCCCTCATTGTTGGAGTTGGGTCATAGCCTGCTAAGAACAGTCTTATAGGAATTGATTCACCTTAAAAAAAAAGAAGTTTCAGTTAGTTCCTTAAAACTGGATGTCATTAATGTAGTTTCAGAAGACATGCAAAATAAAAACAAGTTTCCCAAACACCATCTGTGTCCCCTCCTTGGGTAAAGAATAATAACACCACCAAAAAAAAATCACAAACATAACACTGAGCACAGAGACAAGTGTGAATTCCAAAGTGGGTACTCCACTTTTTTTTTTTTTAAATGCAGGTTTAACTCAAAATGTTCACCCTTTAGAACAAGCACAGTGACTTCCCTTTAACTGGTGCACCATCCATTATCTCATACTTTGCAATGGTTTCAGTCTCTGTTGTGGTACTGGGTCCTGGTGAAACAAGTTTTCAGGGTGAGAACACACACCAGTTCTAAACATTTACAAAGCTTTATCATTGCAATTTCTACTCTGCAGCATTCTAATTACATGACGCTGCACCTTTTGCCTGTGTCTTGCATACAAGTTACACGCAGCTCAAGCAAGTAAACCCACTCTCAGGCAGAGCATCTATTTCTTACTCTCTCCTTCGCCACGCTGACACAGAAGAGGCAGTGCTTCAAAGGAGTCCTGGGAATGCAGGCTTTAAATAAGGGACAAGCATGCAGGGTAGGACTTGTGAAACAGTTGTGTGGTGGGCAGAACTAGCAACTGATACTGCCAGGCCACGATCAGACTAGAAACCTGAAGGGTTATCACCCAGCACAAGAGCCATTCTTACTCTCTCCTTCGCCACGCTGACACAGAAGAGGCAGTGCTTCAAAGGAGTCCTGGGAATGCAGGCTTTAAATAAGGGACAAGCATGCAGGGTAGGACTTGTGAAACAGTTGTGTGGTGGGCAGAACTAGCAACTGATACTGCCAGGCCACGATCAGACTAGAAACCTGAAGGGTGATAACCCAGCACAAGAGCCACCTTTCTCCAGAGCTTATGATGAGGAAACAGAGTGCCTAATTTAGCCAAAAAGCCAACAATAGAGCGTTCTGCCCTTCCCTCTACTGCCAGGGAGGCTTTCTCATTCTCCACCCAAGCAGCTCACTAGGGCCCCAGCCACTGGTCAATGAAGTCATGAGCCACAGCCTCTTACTGCCTTCCTAGTTTCAGGGCATACAAGCCTGATGTGCCATAATCAAGCTGTTTCTGCTTCAAAGCTTCTATGATTAAGCTGCTACATATTTATGCCCAAGTTCCATTTACAATGGCTTGCGTTGGTGAGGCTAACCCAACAGTCACAATCCCAGAACAATGCTACAGACTGACAGTGTTGACTACTACGTATGGTTACCAAAGCACAACATGCAAATGGTAGTCAAACACCAGTGAGAAAGAAGCACATGGAGCATCAATTGTGCCAAAGCTGCAACTACTGACTTCACTCTCCAGGTCTGCCTAAGGCTCAACCAGCTTACAAGCTGCCTTTTTTTTTTGGACTTTGCTCCTCTTACCAATTCCAGTTATCTCCTTTTTGATCAGCTGCAACTCCATGTGCTGAATTTTTATTCTCACTAAGAGGAAATAAATTTTTCCAACAATCACATCCTTTAAGTGATACCTTGAAGAGAACAGAAGGCGGGTTTTCATTAAAGAATAAACACAACTTTTACACCTTCCTGAATACATGTTAATTATCTAGCTCAGTGCGGAAGTAAGCGTCTCGGCCAGAGCAGTGTAGTTAGCACCCTTCCATCACTGCAGTATTAGTAAAGGACGTACTATAGTTATATTACAAAAGCATAAATGCAGAAGTCCAGTCTTAAATATCTGCCAGACCTCCCTATTAGCACTGAAGGCAGGAGACAAGTGTTCCTTGAAAAAGGCCACTGTGTAATTAGTAATCAAACAGCTCAACACAATAAGCACTGAAAATGTTGCTTTACGTTTGACGGACGTTCCTGTCTTCAGCCGCCAGTTGTTCATCAAATATTACACACTCTACCTTTTCACCCCAAGATAGTTACTTGAATGTGTTTCATTTTAAGTGACACTTACTTTGACTTATTGTATTCGAACTCTATATGAAGACAGTCTTCAATGCCTACTTCCATTTTAATGGAGTTGTTCACGTCTGGGTACGTAGCAAGCTGGTGAACAATCAGATCGTATTCTTTCACCAAGTCTGACAGCCGTCTCACTATTGTCACTTTCAGAAAATACCTAGGAAAAAAGCCACCAAGTTAGCCATAATTACTCAGAGCTGCATAAGTAAAAGACCTAATGTTCTGAACCGCAGGTATTCTTTGAAAGGAAAGAGTAAGACACCAAAATACAAGATAAAACACTTAAAGGTAGAAACATGGGAGTGTTTGTTTGGTGGTGGTTTTTTGGCTTGAGGGTTTTTTTCTTTTTTTAAGGAGAGATATGGACTGTCTTCACTGAACTGAAAGAATTTTATCTATACAAACACCACTGAGCAATTCCAAACAAAGAAAAGGCTACATCATAACCATCTCAACAACCCTAATCAAGCCAGACTAGCTACTGGTTGTCACGTGTCCGATTTGAACTCCAAAAGGAGGAAGAGGGCAGCATAATTGCTAAATTATGCCTTTGCTGTAGAGGAGGAGAGGAGAGAAGGCTTCACCATGACAAACCTCAGTCTGACGTTGGCACCAATGTAGGATTCGTATGGCTTCTCAACCTGCATGAATTCAAAGTCATAGCTTCTGCTTTGGGTCAGCTCTCCAGGTAAGGCCAGTTCTTTCACTAGGTTTACAAATTCGTGGGTATTGCTTTTGTCATTGAAGAGTTCTGAAGTTGAGAAAGTTAAAGGAAAACATGTTTCAGTGTTTATTTTTAGCAAACGAAACTGTCTCTAATTTGGCAGAGGCAGGTGGGAGAGGACAACAGAAGTTACACATATCTGACCAAATGTTTTATCCAGTTTTTCTAAGTCATCCTCAGTTTCAGCAAACTACAGTAAGTATTCCTTAAAGAGCTAACTGCGATGAACAGAACACATTTGAAGCTTCACTACCATGGCATTTTTTTTTTTTTTAAATGACAGTTTAGTGAGCTTTAATAAGTATTTCTTGCCTCGCATTCTTTGTAATTAGGGCTGTCCGATTCTGGCTTCCAGCATTTATTGCTGAAGGGGCAAAAATTAAGCATCATCAAGACTGGCTAGTGATCCCAACTCATGTCCTGCAGAGTAACAACACCTACCAAATGGTTTATTATTACTACTAGCCTACAATCAAATGGTTTATTATGGCCACTGGTCTAAAGTCAGTCAGTTGCAAACAAGTTCTTAACACAGAAGCATATACACACCAGTTTCACAGCTACAGCATCTCCTGTCCCCAGACCAGTGTCATTATTACTCATCCCTAGATCTAGGTCATGAAATTCTCACCAAGAAAAAAACTTAGAAAGTTATAAAAAATTAACATTATCATAAAAAAAATCCAAACACTTCAGTATGTAAAAACAAGCTTCTCTACAATTCACAACTGAAGGCATCAGCTAAAACATTAGTGGTAGTTCCTTTTACAAACTGAAGCTTTTCAGAAAAAAAGAAAGTGAACTGAACACATCAATTCCGCAGTTTAGCACTGCCAATTTGGTAGAAACTCACACTAACTAGTAACTGCTTATTTTCTAACATGACTACAAAATATCTGAGGTGTACGTTGTTTGCTCTGACAAGCATTTATATAATATGAAATTTATTTACTGTTGCACATCCCATAGTTTTTGTACCAGTCAGAAATTTGTACTCTGAAGACTTGGTTTGAAATAGGTCTTTGACATGCAGGTGGAGCTAGCCTCCAAGTAGTGCAGAGACACATCACAGCACTGGGATGCTTTTTACATTACTGTATTAAAACTTGAAAGGATGCATAAAAACAGGCAAGTACAAAAAGCAGTAGCTTAAACCACTTCTGCATACCTCTGAGAATTTCTAAATGGTAGCACAACAGATAGCCCCAGAAACACACAAAATTTGAGAAACACTGAAGTCAGTCAGAATAAAGTTTATGCAGAGTAGATGAAGAACAGCTTGTACAGCCATTAGAGGACGACAGACTAAACGAAGCTGACATATGTGAACTCTATTTTTTCCCTACTTCTGAATGCCTCATTCCCATCACACTGCTGCTTTATTCTGAAAGTTTGCTTTTACAGCCCCACTGATCACCTCAAAGCTGCAGGTGTCAGAACTCAGTCATACCTGCTATGTAACAGGTCAGACACCAGGTACTGACTGATCAGAAACAAAGAATTTGTGAAATTCCAATCCAAGTCAGTTGTATGAGGCTGAAACTTGAAGATTTACTTCCAAGGGAGACAATAATGCAAACAGGCCTCTTACAGAGGGAAGGAATTTCAGCATCAGCCTAAGGGTAGAGAGGTTACCTCCAGTGGTAAGAAGTTAGTAATGAACAAGATTCATTATAATTCGAATCTAGCCAGACTTACAGTTATAAGAAAATTACATTTTTAACATAAATACCACATTATCTTACTAAAAAGCACTGAGATCCTCTGAAGCTTCAATACTATTTTACATTAGCAGTATAAAACTATGTTTTAGAAAACCAATCACTAAAGAATTATTTTAGAAGTGTTTTCTTATAGGCAGCCCCATCATTTCTTTTTTATGCTGCTTCTCTTTCAGAGCCAGAACTGAAGACAAGAATTAGTGAGACTGGCACAGTAGGTACACCCGATACTCTGGCTTGGGACCTTAAATACAGGCAAAACAAGGCACAAGCAGAAAAACAATTAATCAAGTGCTTTGATTTTGATTTTTACATCAGGATCATTCATCATTTATAGTCAGAGGGAAGATTGTGTTGAAGTTAAAAATTAATAGTCAGAAATACCTGAAGCAGAAACCACGCATACCATGGTCACAAGTTCAAATTTTTAGAAATCTCTAGTGGTTCTTAATCAAATTCTTAACTGGTGTGAGACAGACTGAATACTCACCATCCCAGTTCCCCCTCACAGGTACCTGTCTTCCCTCTCAATGATCTTCTGACTAGCACAAATTAGCACATCACTTGCGTTACAATGAGCAGGATCTAGTCTTCCTTTGACACTTGTCATCCACTAACCCAATCAGGCTGCAGCCTTTGGGTCAAACTGCTGACCGTCACAAGTGCCAAGTTCCACAAACCACATGCACCTGACATCCCATTTATAGCTTCAAAACTCACCAATTTGTCCTACAAATTCAATCCTTATTCCTTGGTGCTCTAGTCTCTTCCCATGCTGCTTAAGGGAGACGTTCACCTACCAAGGCAAGAAAAAAACCACCAATTAAAACTTTGAACGCTTACACTCTCATACATGTTCTTAGCAAAAGGGAAGTACCTTACTACATGTCTGTGAAAACTGAGACATCAACAGCGCTATCTGAGCTTGAAGGCAACCAAACCAAACAGCTGATTATGAAATTAAGCATTACTCGGGTGCCACTAAATCATTTAAGAAAAACTTAAAAAGTAAGGTTGAAACTTTCAAGTCTCAGAATTAAGAACCTAAACCAGGGCTTCAGCAGAGTTGACGTAAGCCAGGCTTGACGCCCTTGCCATCTTTGAAGCTTCAAAGCATCTTCTGACTGCCACATCTGGAAGTCCAAAAAAGAACTGCCACGAGATGTATTCTTTTCAAGTGAACTTAACCCCGCTCCTTCACAGACACTTGTAAGTATTAAGCATATATCATGTTTCCTTATGAGGTAGCAATGACCAGAGAATTTCCTGTACTGTAAAAACCAGTACATCATTGCTACCCGTGCAGGAAATAACCTACTTGAATATAAAATTTTTAAATATCTACCTTTGTGGTGACAAGAACGAGGGGAGAGGTAGGGGGAAATTGTTCAGTACGTTACTGGTCTTCCAAACCCTTTCACCCCAGTGTGCGTGTGTTAGCCAAAACTCAAACACCCTCTCGGGCACTGCCGACACCAGTAAGGAGTGCTCAGACCAGCGAGCGTACAAAAGATAGTTCCCTCAGTTTCCTGAGTTTGAGGCCCATCTTGTCTTAATTTCACATCCCTAAAAGGACCTTTCTAGAGAAGCAAGATCTGAGCACGGAAAGATATCTTAAAAGGCAGGAAGATACCCAGTGACAATAGGTCAGTCAAGATCAAAGTAAGTATTTAGAAGTCCATCTCAGAACACATGAGCTGGCTCATGTTTCTTAGACAAAAAGCCAATCATTACAGAAATATTCAGAGGATGAGAATTACTCCAGTAAGACCAGAGTGATGCACCTAGGAACTCCCTGCCAGGACTAAAAGTAGAGGAATCCCCTTGGCAATCTCAACTTCCATTTTTTTCCAACAATAAAAACTCTTGTTGACTCAGCAGCCAGGTGAATTTTTTATGTTGCTCCTCTGATGCAATTCCAGAAACCACTTCAGGGCATGAAACACAATGCTTAGCTTCAGGGTATGCAAAGCAGGTTGGCTGCACCAGCCAAAAATTACTGTTACACGTGTCAGGTTGTGGATTTTGGAGTTGAAGGGGAAAGCAAGGGGATCCAGTTTGGAATAGCTGTCTTGTCAGAAGGAGCGATAGGCTTGCACAGGGTTGGGCAAAAAGCTTATTCGTAAACATGACTGGAAACAATTAAACAGCTACTGTTCAAAACGTTCAGTTGTAACAGTTGCCTGAATGACTATGGTTAAAAAGAATATATACAGGAAAGCACTGTTTCCTCTCTAAATAACACAAGCTGAAATTGAGTTCTTGTTTGTATCAATGTTTCATTTGACTTTCCATATGCAGCTGCCTGCCAGAGTCACTACAGTAATTAATACTCACTTAAAAAAAATTTACCTTTCCCGAAACAGATTCTCCATCATAGAAGAGGAAATGCTTTTCAACTTTACCATCTTCCGTCTTGATTTCTGCCGTTTTTCGTGTTTCAGCATCATTAAGAATAACATCAATCTCGCAAACAGGACCGAAAAAGCCTCCAAGAAAACTCTGGAATAACAAAAATTAGCAAGTTACCATACAGTGGACACCCCATTATAGTGTGCAGCTGCAAGTAAGTACCACATACACTGGGAAAAACATCTGTGCTCCCATGGAGTTACAAAGCCGTTATCTATTAGAGACCCAAGAAACAGCAGTGACAAGAGACAGTCACTCATCTAGAAACTAACTGAGATCAGGCCAGTAACAAGCAGCGACAGCTCTTACAAAATATAATGTTTATTAAAAAAGTACACAGCATAATAACCATTATTACTACTATGCTAAAATACCAAGAAGTATGTACAACGTTGCTGTTGCAAACACAGCTTCACTTTCTGCTGTCAGGTAAGAGCGGATGTCACAAGCTTACTCACAACAGTGCTCCACACCTCAATCCCTTACAGCCCTTACACCTTTCTCCTCCCCTTACAGCAGCATTCCCTAAGCACAAACTTTTGACCCTCGACAAACACCAGAAACTAGGAGAGACCATCCTTTGACCCTGAACAAACATTTCTTAACAAGAAGCTGCAAAACACATCAGCGGCTCCGTGGGAAACTCAACAAGAGTAGTACAAGAGCCCATATTTCCTCCTAAGAATCAGGCACTAATCTGCTTTGACGTACTAAAGCAGACAACGCTTCACTAATTCAGTGTGATTTGGGGGTTTTTGGTCAAATTACACTACGTTCTCAAACGAGAGCATCCGCTTCAACTAGATGAGTTTGGTATGCGTGAAACAGTCATTCTCACTTCACCAACTTCATCTCCAAAGCTGAGTAAGGACACATCTCAAGACATTTAGGGGATCTGAAATTTGAAATGCAGCATTAATAACAAATAGCCTACAAGACAGTTTGGTCTGAACGCTGCTGCCTAGCAGCGGAACACTGAGCGCCTTTTTGCCTGCCCCTACAAGCCAAGCAAAGACACAACGCAAGTTGGAGCCATAAAACAGCGATTCACACACGACTAAACCTACTTTGTATTTGTTCAGATCGCAGGCGGCCCTGGTTCAACCCACAGAGACGTAACTAACTGCAACATAGCTGCATCTACTTCACATTCTCACAGGAAAGCAGCAGCAGATGACCAACTGAGTGGTCAAACGAAGACTGAATGAATGTCCTCCAAGTCTCTGCCAAGCACATACTCTCATTAATTGCCACCACAAGAAATAAAGCTCTTTTTTTTGACGACTGCCCACTAGAACCATTCTTGATTTTTGCCTCCTGGGAAAAGGGGAGAGAGAAAGAAGAAAGTTGCAACAAGAACTCCAAATCTTCAGACTATTTTAAACTGTTACAGAGATTATTTTTGAGCATGCCCATATTTTTTTCCTCAAAAACTCTGCATTCATTCTCCAGACCAGCCATATACTTCCCCCCCAAAGCAAAAAAGGAAGCACACTACCTTTAAGTAAGTGTTATACGTGATGGCCTCACAATGCCTTCAGAATTACGAAGCTGTACCATCATTTAAAGCAATCAGCCAGAATTAACACCAGTAACACATTGCTTCGCAAGACACTGCGTATGAATATTTCAACTGTACCCCTTCGAGATCAGCCACGATCACATCCAGAAAGGACAAGAACATATGGAATAAAGAAATCAACAGCTGGTATCTCCTCCAGTGGCTGTCAAAGATACCGCTGCGGGGAAACTATGCAAAGCAAGAAGTATTTTAAGAAGCCATCATATGGCTTATTACGTTACAGCTTAAGAAAATGAAGACAGAGAAGCAAGGTTTCCAGAAGCTGGCCAAGCGCTGGGCTGCGTTCTTGACCTCATACAAAAGACGGACACTGAAGATTCTGCTACATCAGGACTGAAATCAATCCGCATTCAGTCATTTTGTGTTACAGCTGCCGTAGAGGACTTGTAGGACTCCCAGCAGCTGATCAACGTGCAGAAATCCCAACCCCAACTTCACATGGAGCCCTAAATACCTTCGGCACGTCCAACAGAGATAGAGACACGGGTTAAGGAATCCGCACGCTTCAGAAATCCAAAGTGCATTGGCTTAGGTGGGGGCTTTATAGATATATATGTATTTAAATGTAGAGAGCACACCGAGCACAGTGCCTAGGCCAAACCTGGGAAGCGCAAAGCGGCCGCTACGTCACCATCCCTGAAGGATTACCCCCGCGCACCGCCTTACGGGACCGCTGGAAGATTTACTGATGCTTCCAGGACTACCACACGCACTTTTCCCAAAGCCTCTCCGACGGCAGCTGCGTAGGAAAAATGCAAGCGGAGTTTCACACTAAGCCCCGTCCTGGCGAGGGCATGCCAACACCCCCAGCCTCCGCCCCTAAGTTACACTACAAACACCCCG